TTCTTTACCCGCATTGCCTTCAGTCATTACGGTAACAACCCAAACTGAATTTGATTGTTTGAAGGAAAAACACAAAATATACAATACAGTTTGTAACCACCATTTGTTAAAAAAAAAAAAAGGATGTCAGTGAAGAGTCACTCAGAACTGTTTCACTCTGCTGCATTTGAACAGCTTTTCCTCAAATTTAATAAGTTTGTAACCAGTTGTGTTCTCACTGAACCATTCAGCAAGTATTACGGAGCAACCAGTAAGTGTGGAGACTACAGGAAGAGGCAGAATTGATGACTTACTATGTTTGTTGAGCTTCTGTTCTAGTGGGAAGAGATGGCCAGACAGACATATGTGTCAGGGAGTGACATTAAAATAACTTAACTAAGGAGGGCTGGAGCAGGTGGGTGAGTGTGGTTTCTGACGGGGTAGCGGTGGAAATCCTCTCTGATGAGGCGGCATTTGAGCAGGGACCTGAATGATGTGAAGGAGGAGCCAAGTGGATTTAGGAGGGAAGAGCATGTGCACCCCTCTGTACCGCACTGAACAGACACTAATTCTGGTGCTCCCATGTGTCTTTATCTTGTTACCATACTCACCAGTCCCTTAGTATTTTTTCTCTCATAATTGAGTACAAAATCTTAGTACTTTTAATCTATTTCCATTATATTCTTATTGTTCATCTTTAAGTAAAATTATCCCTATGTTAGTAGAACAGGTCAATATTTTAATTTGGCTTAAGTTTAAACAGCCTCATTTACAAATGTGGAGATGTAAGATGCCACCTGCTTAAGCTACTGATGTTTAACTTTATTCTTAGAAATTACCACTGTAATATTATATATTCTTTAAAGTAAATGTTGTTTTGTCATGAACTGTTCTTAGCCAAGAATTTGTGCACTTATTGGTTTGAATCTGTTTTACATATTAAACAGTAATGGTTAAAAGAAACCCATAAAATAAAAATCCAAGCTAAACATCAGTGATGAGAGAAAATGTAAAAATTTTAATAACAGGCATAAAATAGTAAAGTGCTAGTTTATTAGGTTTAACTGTATGTTCTATGTTTTAGAAAACCATTTGTACAATAAATAATTCACATATTTTCATTTTCATGTTTTTTGATGATGCTATTTTGGTCTTATACATAACTTTAGTAATGAAGAATGTTCTTATTTATGGTAAAGTAAATGAAAATATGGGTATATAGTTAACATTATAAAATACTAATGTTCATTATTTATATATTCATATGTTTCTGGTAAGTGCAGTGTATATTTTTTTCATTCCTTCTCTATTTTTAAAAAAGCTGTTCTTTTATTCCACTTATGCTACACCACTTCATTACCTTCTCCAGGGTAAATGAAAACTATATTTTTCTAGAAACTCTTTTGAGATACAATATATCATAACAGTATTTTTCCCAGTGCGTATAATAATCACCTTTTTATTTGACCTTTTATAGCCTCTCCTAACCATGTGGCTTGCCAGAGCTTTTAAACTCTCCATCTGTGTATCAGCTCTGACATTACTTTCTCATAACACTCGTCATAGGTTATCACCATGCTGTGCACTTTTTTCTTCTTACTGGGCCATAGTCTCTTACTTTAAGCTTCCTCATAGTTTGGGACACCTGTAACAGTTACGTTAATTATTCTAGACCTTAAATTTGATGATGCAATCTTTCCAGTCTGTTGCATGGGATGAGAGGTCACACTGAACCTTGAGCACTGGACTTGGAAGTAGACAGCAGAGTCAGGCTACTTAGCTCTCACCATCATCTACTATCTGGAATGATACTGGAAAAGCCATGCCATCTCTTTGAGTCATCCTTAAATTAATCATGCCAATTCCACCTTAGAATTATGAAGATAAACGAATAGAATATGTTTGAAAGTTATATAAACAGTACAGTGCTATGTGGATTTTTATGCTTTATATTGGCTTCTTCTACTATAAAACTTCAGAAAATATTGGCTATTATGGATATTATGTAAGTAAAGAACAGAGAGAGAGAGCTGTGATAACTTCAGAGATCTTCAGTGCATTAAAAACCCAGCCCAAAGCCACATTTTAAAAACTAAGAATATGTTGAAATACATTGGGTGGAAAAAAATTAATGAATGCCTTTAATCTATCTTCATATAAAGCTGATTAAATTTTTCAAAGGGTTATGGGACAATATTTAAAGGAGTACAATCATGTGTATATAACTATAGGAAAGGAGAAGGTGATTAAGGTCAGTGCTCCTTAAGGAGATACACGTGTGCATGGTAAGGAGGGTTCTAACATGGCCCCAAGATCCCCAGCCCCTGGTGGATGCACCCTGTGTAATTCCTTCCCCTTGCATATGGGCAGAACCTGTGAGTATGATGGACTATCACTTGGATAATTAGGTCACAAATCAATTGACTTTAATTAAAAGCAGATTTTTCTAGGTGGGACTGACCTAATCACATGAGCCCTTTAAATCTCAGTCAAGACGTCAGAGACCGCAGAGGAGAAGAGACATTCAAAGCAGAGAGGCCTCTGGGGAGAGGATGGGAGGAGCTGTGAACTCCTGGCAGGGAACTGTGAGAGGCTCCCAGATGCTGGGTGTCCCCTCCCATCATACCTCCCGCAGCCAGCAAGAAAATGCGGGCCTTAATCTTGCAGCCAAAAAAAACAAACCAAAAAAACCCTGAATTCTGCCAACTATTAGGTGAGTTTAAAAAGAGGCCCCTAAGCTCCAGAAAGGAATGCAGCCCAACTGACTGATTTCATTTGTGAGACCCTGAGCTAACCCTCACCTGGATTCCTGACCCAAGGAAGCTGAGATAACACGTATCTATCATCCTACACTGCTCAGTTCCTGGTGGTCATGCATACAGGAAAGTAATACGGTGCCCTTTATAATAGGTTACTTCTTTGGATTTTTAAAAAATTATTTAAAATAAAGGCAACTCTGATAGATTAATTTAGCAAATGTATATATTTTTAAAAGTTGGTAAAGTTCTTCTACCCTGGTTGTACTTGAAGTTTTTTCTCCTCTAAAAATTTATTACAGTCATGTGACGTTTACCCCAGCATCCATGAGAGGAATAATCTCATGTAGTAGCAAGCTGTGAGGCACACGTGTGTGAATACACACTCCATCCTTGTTACTCAGAGCATCGGCGCTCCGGGAGCTTGTTGGACTCGCAGGGTGTCTGGCCCCACCCCGACCTGCTCAGTCAGAACCTGCATGTTAACCAGACCCCCGGGTGCTAATACACTCACATTAAAGTGTGAGGAGTCTGCTCCTATCTAGTATTTGTTAATAATAAATATCTCAAAGGGGAATCCATTTCCAGGACTCCAGGAGGAAAGTGACCACCTCCAATAAGGCAGTTTACGGAAAAAAGAATACATGATCTTTATCCGGATATTGGAATTCAGTCACTTAAAAAGTTACCTCTTTTAAAATAACCATTACATTTAAGGGTAGAAATTAGGTTACGTATAAATAATAGGGTTTGCTTAGCCCTATTATAGGAAAGGTGCTAAGGAACTGAGAGGATAAGCTGAGATCAGCATCTCCCCCCACCCCCACCGCCTGCCTGGTGCGCGTGCGTGCACCCCCCCCCCCCCCAGCTGTGCTTCTCAGATTGTGAGGGCCACACTGCTCAGGCCTGGCTACACTCCTATTGACTCAAAGCCTCCACTCATAAGGTTAGGTTGTGTGGATTTTAAAAATCCTCTTTAGGTGATTCTAATTTATATTTTTAAAACAACTGCTTTTTAAAAAAAAGCTAAAATAATATGGTTTTATCTGTCTCTATAACATGCTACATAGTTGCATAATTAACTTGAAATTTTTGACACTTTCAGCTTCTTAGTTCCATTGCTGTAGGGCTGGTTTATTGACTTTTTTCTTTTTTTTTTTTTGGCTTCCTTTTTTTTAATGTGTTTTCATTTTATAAATTTATTTTTCTGAACTTATGTTATTGGAAGACCCCTGGTATGGTATTAAATCGTGTATGAGTAATATTAAAAATTATTACATAGTCTGTAATGAATCAGAAAATTGATTCAGCTTAAAATAATTAAAATAAGGCATAAAAATTCCCTCTTAGTAAATGCATTAAAAATTATGGAATTATTTTATATTTAAAAGTTCAGATAATTAAACAATAATTTATTAATGTAATTCAAGGTTAAGCAAAATGGGTCTTGAATCATGTCTACCCATGAATCAGATTAGCACAGGAGGAGTCAGGCGTGGGTTCTAGGCAGCAGAGAAGGGATGAAGTGGCAAAACCATGTGGAGACCAGAACCTGCAGCCCTGAGGCCAGTGTGCATGAAAAGAGAGCCTCTGATATTGGATGCCTCATCACACACAGGGGTTCTGTTTTTGAAGGTTATAAGTAGATGATATTCCCTTTGATAGAATTAACAAAACAGACCTTAGCAGTGGAAGCACTAGAGGACAGTTCCATGATGAGAGAGAACAAAGGAGAAGAAATGGTGGATGACTGTATATGAGAGCAAGAGAGTTCTTCAAGTGACTCCAGCTATCTCCATAAGCATGTCAGCCAAGTAATATATAGTCATTATATATGCATTATCAGTTCTGTTTTCCTGGTCTTTACATGTTACAAAATATATAATATTAATTCTGTTTTTCTGGAGAACCTTGACTAACGAGTATTGTAAAAATAAGAGTAGCGATTCTATCTTTCCAAAATAAGACTTCTGCTATTTACTAAAACATCCTTACACAAGAAATGAAGTTGACTATGACAGGTCCACACGTATCAGTTTTGGGTCTCCTTTTCCACACATGGGATCGCCCCCTATATGCACACACAAAAATAATCTTCCAGAAATTGTTTTGGGACCCTCAGGTAAGAGAAGCCCTCATATTCATAAGTATATAATATAATCTACAAATGACATATAATCTACATATGAAAAGCTGTTAAGTATATATTTGAAAATAAGCAGAGTAACACTACATGAGTCAAACATACATTTAAAAATTTATTCAGTGCTCATTTCGGCAGCACAGATACTGAATTTGAAACAATACAGAGATTAGCAAGGCCCCTGAGCAAGGATGACAGACAGATTCGTGAAGCATTCCATATTTTTAGTCTTTTTTCTATAGATAACCCCTTTTTTTTAATCCATTCATCTGTTAATGGACATTGAGTTATTTCCAGGTGTGGGGTATTACAAATAAAGCTGCTTTAAATATTTGAAAAATAAGATAAAAATATATTCATATTTCTACTTCAAAAATAAATACAGTAAATATAGGTAAGTACATTTCTGAAAAGCCATTCAGATACATATACAGTATCTGAAAAAGAGAACAGTCACAGTATTTGCTCAGTTTTCCACTTTTAAAATATATATCATGAATTTGTAACAGGTTGATGTCCTTCACTAGAGTACAGAAAAAAGAAAACAAGACTTTCCTTATTTGCAGTTTGTGGTCCCATCTGCTTCTGAAACCTGGGTAGATTAATTTTCATAGATTTTGGGAGGTTTTTTTTTTTTTTTAGTCTTTTTTACCTAGAATTTGTTTTAATCACCACAAACCAAAAAAATTGTTAAACATACAGAAGAAATCCATGGGCTATGGCTACGAATTCAGGGGTTCAAGTTGGTTTGGAAACAGAGTTCTGAATAAGAGGGCAGGAAAAGTATCTCAGAAGTTGACTCTAAGCTCCCTAAGGTCAGGAATAGAGCTTGCCTACTTTGTGCTATGCCCCAACCCAGGACATAGGATGGAATGTGACCAAGATGATTTCTTATTGAATGAGCTACGTTATGGTCTACATAAATTTGAAGGAGCTCAGTCCTGAAAAGCCACAGATTTAATTAGAATGTCAAAGTCGTAACAAGTACTCTCTTCAAACATGGTTAAAAATCTTCATTAACCTGATTATAACATGCATGTAAGGAAGCGATCCTTAACAACAAGAAATCATTGTGGACAAGAGTGCATGCACAATTGATTTTGGTTTGTTTCTACTGAAAGAAGCAGTAACCGATGTGGTCAATACGTTTGAGCACCAGGGAAACAACAATGAAAAATAGTATTCTTGTGTCTCCAGAACATTAAAATAGAACTTTAATTATAGATATTTCACTGATAATTAATTTGTTGTTGTTAGATGTTATAAATCACGAAAATAAAGGAGAAGCCCTAAAGCCATGTTAAACAACTAAAAATGTATTACACTTCAGATGACTTAAAGGGAAATGGGAACATGAGATTCACTGCCAATGTATTCTAAAAAAACATCATTCATTCTTCATTCATTCACTCATTTATATACTCACTAAATATTTACTTCATAGCCACTGTGTGTCAAGTACCATAGCTATTTTATATAAGTCAAAACATAGAGCTGTGTCTATGTGTGTAAGCAGAGTCAGAGTGCATCTCTAAACGCCTTCTCCCTGTGACCTCCCATGACTGCCTGAAGGTTCTGCCTCCAGTGCGTCTTGTGTGAGAGGAACTGCGAGATCGGGGCTGTATCTTAGTTTCACTACGTGCTGCATATAGTCAGGACGCAAGGTTGGATTTCATGGTGTCTCCAGGTATAGGTATGTTTGGAAATTGTTCCCCATTGATGAAACTTTTCTGCAAAACTCCTGCAGAGGTATCAATGTAGATTATATGGATTCTTCCATCACCAATAATTTTGAACTCTGAGTTCTGGGGTACCTGTCACCCTCTTTGGATTCTTAAAGTTAATAGGTATAAATGAAAATATCTATTTATTTTTAAAAAAACTATCAAAATATCTTGCTGGAGCTGATAACGTTAAGAATAACAGGTACATCTGTGAGTGCTTATCAGTCTCCAAATTCTAAGTACTGTCAATATGCATTTTCCAGAAAAGGACATGTGATACTGATGTGGTTAAGAAACCTCTTGGTGCTGGAAGTTAGAAATTATAGGAGAGTCCAGTTCACAAAGCTTTATGTCGCTGCTGTACACACTGCCTCAGTTGGGGGCTTCCTAGTATTTGAGGAACTGATAGTTGATGTTGGCTAAAAAACCTAGAAATACCCAAACCCTGCCAGGACAATCGCTCTCCTCCCTATCCAGGCTTCAAGGGACGTGCTGTCTACTCCCTTGAACAATAACAAACGAGGAAATCAAGGAGTCACTTGATCATTAAGTAAGCGAATTCCCACTAACCCACCACAGAATTCTTAATAAACTGGGCTGAAGTGAGGGTTGTATGCCTAACCCCTAAGTAGTAGTAAAAATAACAATAACCACCCTAATTCCTTCCTTAACATCCTCCAACCACTGTGCTGAACACCTGATATACAGCAGTTACTCTTCCCAATAACCTCATATGATTCCCATTTTACAGATGAGGAAACTGGTGCGAAGGGTGTTCTGTAATTTGCCATCGTCATGGAGGTAGAGAGCGCCCCTCCCCCATGTCACCACCAGCCTGCTTCCAGGCAAAGAGAACTGAGCCGTGTGCGTGCTTCCTCGTGAAAAGATGGTCAGAATACAGGAGGGCCTGGCCTCCTCCATCAGCTCGTCTTCGGCCAGTCAGTCACTTGGAGCTGACTTGTCATTATTAGTGTTTTCCCTTCTTGGTTACCAAGGAGTGCTGTTTGAGGAAGAGAGTAGGGACAAAGAAAAAAAAGGGAAAGAGAGAGACCTTCTCTCCTACAACATCTATTAGAAAAACTAAACACTAACTATATTTATTTCACATCTGACTTTAATGAAGTCCTTAAAAATGAAAACTTTCTAGTTTTATATCTTTCTTACTGTACCTAATGTTTTTTGTTTTTGTTTCTGTTTTTGTTTTTTTTAATGGCATAACCTGCATTGCAAGCTCTGTGCCCTAGAATTTGAACTAAGGTCATTTTTTTGTAGTTTAAAAGAAGTTTCTCAGGACTAAATTATAATAATGGTGATTAATCTGCTTAATACAGAGCATTAAAAATGAATTATAACAATTTTGTTCTACAAAGTAAGTTAAATTGCCCTTAAAGATTGCCCCATGGCATTTTCCCTCTTTTTAACGTTTGTAATAAACCACCTGTTTATTACAAAGGATAAGGCTTAAGTCTCACTTGAATCGCATCACATCTATGAAAAACTTTCCTCGTAATCAGAGCAAATATTGGAAATAATCGTGTCCAAGGTGGGGAAGAATTTGAAAAAGTGTCATAGATTCAGGAAATAAGGCACTCTTCACGTGACATTAATTCTCGTTCAGATGTGTAGACAGCAAGATTGAAGTTCTGTTTGCCATTCATTAGAAGCAGAATATTAAAGAATCGTAAACATGACCAAGTCTCAAAAATTCCTCCCCACTTGCTTCTGAAATATGAGCCCTGTGGGCATCAGCTGGAAGAGAAGTGTGGTTTAAAGGACCGACTAGGTGGCTCATGTGTCTGTGTCAAGTTCAGAGTCAGAATCATAATAATTTCAAATATGCACTTGCACTAATCACTGGTACATTACATAGTATTTTTAAAATAGCATGGTGAGAATATCACAGATTTGGAAGATACGATTTTAGTTTTGAGTTTTCCTGAACCCTGCAGATTTCTGATGTCTCACAGGTAGAATTAGGTAGAGATGGAAGAATCATTGCACAATGTCTCTTTTAGCTCTAATATTTCTGTTTCACAATCTGAAGCTGCTAATCCAGTATCTTATAATTACCACCAGGTTCTTTTTCTGCTCTCTTGCTTTTTCTTTCACTTTTAGAGAAAGACTTTTTAAAAGAATACTATACCTAGAAAGGATGTGCAAATCTTAAATGCCAAACTTGGTGCATTTTTATGAAGCAAATACGCTCATGTAAGTAGCAACAGATCAAACAAACAAATAAAAAAAAAAAACCCAAGAATATTACCAGCCTTGTGCCCTATACTGAACACTATAACCACAGGGTAACCACTATCTTGACTTACAACCCATGCTTCTAAAAATATAGCTTGATTTGATTATTTACATAAATGCAATTATCAAGCATGGTTAGCATTGCATTCAACCTACTGGTCGACTCAGAGGATATTGGCATCTTAATATTAGTGAATCTTTTGACCCAGAAACATGGTATCTCTTTCTATTTAATTAAATCCTCATTAATTTCTCTCAGCAGTGTGTTACATTTTCATGTACTTGTCTAGCACATATTTGGTTCATGTTATACAAAATCACTTCCAAATTTTTGATGCTGTTATAAATGGAATTTTAAATTTTAAATTCCATTTGCTTGTGGCTAGTAGGTAAGAGTACAATTGAGATTTTAAGCTGACACTGGGTCTTAGAACCTTGCTAAACTCTCTTATTGTTCTAGTAGTTTATTTGTAGACTCCCTGAGATTACTTACTTGTATGTTGTGTACAATTAATGTTTGTTCAATTTGTATAACCTCCCCCCTCCCTTTTTCTTGCTTTATAGCACTTTCTAAGACTTGCAGGAAAATGTTGAATAGGGGTGATGAGGTCAGACTTTCTTAGCTTATTCCTGACTTTAAGGGAGAATAATTCAGCCATTTCCTGTCAAGTGTGAGATAAGCTATAGGTTTTACACCAAGTTGAGGAAATTTTCACCTACTTCTAGTTTTCTAGTAGTTTTTTAAAAATTATGGCTGCTTAATTTTGTCAAATGCTTTCTCTGAATCTATTCATATTAACATAGTAACAGTTGTTATTATAATGGTTTACTCGATTAAATTATGAATTTTGAATCAACTTTTCATTCTTAGCAGAAATTCCACTTGCTGGATTAACAGGTTAATATTTTGTTAAGGGATTTTGTTTCTTTGTCCATGAGGGCTGTTGGTCTGTAGCTTTCTTTGCTTGTAATACCTTTGTTTTGATTTCAAGGTACAATTAGCCTCATAAAGTGTGTCGAGAAGTATCCCTTACACCTTTGTGGAAGAGTCTTTGTAGATTTTCTTTTTCTTCAATATATAGTAGAATACACTAGCGAAGCCATCTGAGACTGGAGTTTTCTTTGTGGGAAAGTTTTTAAGTTAAAAATTCCATTTTTTCAGTTTGCATTTCATCTGTGTACTGCAATTCATCACTTCTCACACATGTTGGTCACCTTTCCCGTTAGAATCTTTAACAAATGTAATCACATT